TAAGGACAAGCGAACAGCAGCTCATATTTTAAATACGTTAGTTTCTAGGGGAGAGTGATTATTTGACTGGGAAATAGTCGATCAATTTAACTTACAATAGGCGAACCTCCATTGTAAGTGTTCATCTACTGTATCAAGACACGAAATAATCGAAATTGAGATGGTACTTGGAGTTGAGTATAATAGTAACAAAAGCATAGTGATTTTATTGATTAATTGAAGTTTTAATGTTAGAGTTGTAAGTATTAGGGTGTAGGTTTGGAAGAAGATCTTGAGGGTGGGTGCCCGTGTCGGCGTAGATACTATATTCACCTGGCACCCACACCCGTTCTTCGAACTATATTCATCGACAGACAACAAGGAATGTTTTTCACCAAACCGCGAAAGCGTCCAACAATATGTTTTTGAGCGTATGACCAATTCAGCGAAATTTAAATCAATAATTATTAAAGATCGCATAAAGTTAATGGAGTTTTCTTACATCAAGCATATGGAGACCGATAGTAACACGGACGCGGATTTTGATACTTCTTCTTCATACACAACAAACCTAGATATGATGCCCATTTTTTCTTTTTACTCTATTGTCACGAAAACGGTTGACAAAGTCATAAAAAGCTATGTGTGTGTGAGGTGTGAATGAAGGTGTCTTTTCTTCTACTCACAGCACAGCCATACCCTATAATATGAGCTTTTTTTAGTCTTGCACGATAGTAATGTTCAAGAGAAGAAGCTCCACCTGGTGAAATGAGCTTTGGGCTGCCAGTTGACTTCCAATAACGAAGAACATATCTTGAGGGTGTGAGTGTGGGTATTCACTGCACTATCATCCACACCCACTCCATCGTCGATAGCAGTATGTTGAATCAATAGGCTTTAAAGTTTGAATATTTCTTCTTATTATAGATAAACAAAACGACTTCAATAATATCTTATGATCACGTATATCAAAAGTTATACTCGTATCGTGATACTGAGAAACTGACGCAAGTGGGGCTTATTGCTGAAGAATTTTTACAATGGTTAGATGCAGAAGGCAATGATTCCTGAAACAGCATTCTATGAATTTTCGGCAAAAAACTATCAGGTAATTCACCGGTTCCGGCAGGAAGCCTGTTGGAAAATGCCGAGAATTCAACCGTGGAATCGATTCCAGGTGAAACTGAACGGATCCGGTGACCGAATCCATTCAACAGGAATGTCGTTGGATCGGTCGTTTCCGTGCCAGATTGTTCGACCTGGGTCCACCAGTAACGAATGAACCGTTAAATCAAATAGAAAAATTGAATATTCAAGTAGCAAAGATCTTTTATCTACATGCCTTTAGGCGGTTCCAATTAAAAATGTTCGTACGAATAACATAAATATCCATCCATGGCAAAGACAACGGCTTTAAACGGTAGAAAACCGGTAAAATACGGTCCGTATTCCGGGTTGGCGGATTACAGTGAGATACGACTAAAAATAAGGCAGTGAAACGCCGTTTTATAGCCATTTCAGGCAACCGCAGTGCATCATGCAGCTTCCGTTATTTGCAGTGGTATCGATGTTACAAGTGGACACTTAAATTTAGATTTTGGATTAGGATTTTATCTTAAAATACACTTTAGAGATGCCAAAGATTGGTGTACGTATCGTTTTGCTCCTACATGTGATGGTGAAGCTGCAATACTTATTTTTCAACTACCACAAGATGTATATCACGGGAGAAATATTTATCAGCTTGAGGGTGTGGGTAAGGGTATTTTAATTATCTATCGCACCCGCTGTCAACCACACTCTCAAAATATTATTTACAAAACTTTCATTAATTTTCAATTTTATTTCAACTATTTTGCTCATTTTTCTTTTAAAATTCTTTTTTTTGCTTTCATCTCAATAAAAATCTTCATTAATTTGTTTTAAAATTCTAAATAAAATTATTTTTCAAGCCAATTTTTATTACAAATCTTTTAAAAATCAAACAATATAAAATCGGAAAATGATAAAACTGATTACTCAAAATTATCAAATTAAACTTAATTCCTAGGAAAAAATCTCAAAAGACTTTTATTCGTTCTTTTATTCAATTAAAAACTTTTCCTTTTTTTTTAAATCAAAATTTCATTCACAATATAATTTCAAACTTTGCAATTCGATGATTCTGATAATCAGCAATCTAAATTTTCTCTAATATTAAAACAATGTGTACAGATAGTTTCTATACTGCGGTTAAAATACATAGATTTGGATTTTACAAAAAAAAATATTTCAGAAATACATCTGTGAATCAGTTAATCTGCTATAAAATAACAACGAATGCAAAAAATGATCGTTCAAATACATATAGTTGAAATTTGAACATAAAAGTTTGATCATATGCATAAATCACATCACATAAAAGAAATTAAAAAAATGTTACTATTATATTTTCATATAGTCTTTTTGTATGAAATGTTTTTTCCATTTAGTTAAAAGTAAATTCAGCATCAGTATTTATTCATTTTCCACCTAAAACGAAACCAAAAAAAGGAATCTTTTTTATTTATCGTATTTCTTTAGTTTAGATTTTTCCGCTGAACAAGTACATGTATGTCAATCTAATAAGAGAGGAGATAGTGTTGAAATAATGTATGGGTGTGGATCTGTCTCATATTTGAACACACCCACACAATAATCAATTTCATCCCAGTACCACTCACTGTACTCTTTTCTTTTTGGCATTATCGTATCACTCGACAAAAATACTTGCTTGATTTCAATACACACCGTATACACAACAAAGGGTTACCAGCAGCACTCTATCTTCTAAATCACAGAAACGAAGAGCAATGCAAATAGAAATGTCTGATTTTAACACTTACCATTGTCTTTTTTACCAATTAGAATGATTCGTACTTCATCTTGTGATGAAGACTAAATAATAAAAAAGAATTTCTATTGTTCAAACACAAAAAATATTCAACATACCGTGTGTATTGTATTGGTGGTTTATTTGATGATGTTAATCAAAATCAAGAAGTAGTAATGCAACATTTTAATGTTTTCGCCTATGTAAATAAAACATAGATGAGAAAAAACCCATGACACAATAATTTTTCGTTGTGATTGAATAATGAAAAAAATCCAATGACGCATGATGAAACACATTGATGCAAATATTTGTTGTTCTTCGTCGATACAATGATGCTGTTAGAATAAGAACGAAAAAAACTCCATACTCATATTATTTTCAACTTACCTAGAAGGTAATTTTTCTCCGAAAAATATCAAAGCTTACCCGTTAAGGAGAACGAATTGTGCAGTCTTCATACATTCTTCTCGTTGCTACAACTCTGTTACTAAGTGAAATCTCTATATATATATACACGTAACAGAAGACGAAAAGGTATTGAAAATTAATTTCATTTTCGTACTCAAGCAACCTATTCAAGCTCAAGTTTTAACAAGTATGTTAAATACAAACAGTTTCATCATTCTATTACTTATCTAAACTATATTTTATTTGATAGCTGTTTCGCTTAAATACTTTTATATGAGAACGTCAGTTAAATACAGCGAAAAAAAAACATACGTTTATAATACTAGTTTATAAAATTTAGAGAACGTATTCGCGAAGATTATTATCGAAGATCTTTTTTAATATTTTCTTTTTAAGAGAAGAAGATGGTTTAGTCTAATGTAGATGAAAATGTTCATACACAAGACTATTAAAAGTGACAGTTTCAATTACCCACAGTGGAATACACGTCAACTATCGATCATCGATAGTATGCAATAGGGAGACTGCTCATAGAATTGTTAAAATATTCGTATTCTTTTATCATTTCTCTTTCTTCTTCTCATTACACTGATCCATTAGATATTTGCCTGAAAAGTCTGATGTTGCTCAGTTCTGTATTATGTCGATTATTTTTACATGAAAAAAAAAACACCGAGCGACTGAATAACATCCATTAAATTTATTCTCGGAATTTTGAAAGAAAAAAACCCACAAACAAATATTACTAGAAAAATAAAACCATTGAGAAATTTCATCAATACATGATGAAAGAAAAAAAACTCGTTGAAATCTTTGTCAATTACTTTCTTTCAAAAGAATCCACTTTCTTGTCAGAGGATTATCGAGAAAGAATAAAGTATAGTTTTTATTTAAAATTGAAACAGCATATGGTGACTATAAATTTTTCACTGAATATTTTTATATTTTACTTTAAACATTCAACTGTATAGAGAAGAGTTTATTTATATCTTCGTAATAAACAGGCAAGAGACCGTGTATAAGGGTGGGGATGCGATTGTTATGTTACACACGTGGTCATATATCAGTGAAAATAAATAATTTTCTTTTTAATAGGTGAACTTAAAATATTTTATACTCAGTAATGTCAACAAGTTTCTACACCTACCAAACGGTTGCTTATGCAGTTCCATTTAGCATGTTTGGAGTCATGTTTGTGATTATGTCAATCCTCAATAAACGAGCTCATTCCTATGCTGTTGAACATATTTTAGGTATTAAACTAAAAGCACCAGAAACTGACGCGAAGAAGTCAAAGAAAACCAGCTCAGAAACAATTCAAAAACCTGTAGTGGTAATTTCAAAAAACGAAAATAACCAAAACAATCCAGTAAAAGTATGGTCATTACAACAAAATACTGAAATGTTTCTGTATATTGAACAAGAACATAACGAACAAGAAAAAGATAAACAAGGGTTACCGTGTATTTTACGTTTCTTGTGTGATTTTTTTACTAGTGCTATTCTTGCCATTCTTCTGGAAATCATATTTTCGCAGTGTATTTTGTCATATGAATCGATCCTTGCTAACAGTGCATGTCCTGATTTCGACGCGGACTGTTTCGGATACAATGGTACACTAGTTTCCGGCCCTTTTTTATGTACAAAAAATGCCATTGCAAATTTTTCAGAGACTTCACCAAAACTTAATTGTTATGGATGGGTATATAAGACGATAACTACGAATGACGCGTTAAATTCTATCGGTGTCAGTGGTGGCCTACTCGGTCTTATTTCTTGTATCGTGCCTCTAGTTTTCTATCTCTCCTATTTCAGGAAAAAATGTTGGGGTATAAGCATTCTTTGCATTATCCTGCCAGCATGTACTATTGTCGCATTCATTCTTGTCAGTACATTGTTGATACAAGCACCAGAACGACCATCAGTGTTAACAATACTTACTTTCTCATTATTTATAACAATGACAGCTGGTGGTTGGGGATGGGCCGTTTATACATCGTGGAGCCGCCGCTTAAAGTCATCCCAACCATGGTCTTGTACTAAGGGAAGTTTTGTCAAAGACAATTGTAGCTTTTTAAATTATTTTATAAACTCATATCCATTATATCCATTTTGTTGTTTTGGCAAATCTCAAAAATACTTATGTTGCGACGGGGACATTTCTCCATAAATGACAATTCAACACTTATTATTTCCATGTTCAATTCGATTAACAGATACTTTCCCTATTTCGATTTTTTAATCCAGCTTTATGAGATTTTACTCTTGTGTCTTTTTTACTTTTCAAAATAAATCATGATAATGTTCAAATATAGAAATTTAATTGCATGAAATATCAAAGAAGTGCTATCATATAATGTTTCTATTATTTTGATCTCGATATTAATCCTGTCAGTTCCAGTAATTTTTAAGTAGCCAAGGAACAACGTAATGAACTTATCTTTTACTACATAAGAATTCAGATCGAATCTGTGAAACTGCAATAAAACAAATGGACGTCATAGATATTGTGAGAGTGTGGGTATGGGTACTTTTTTTCTCTCTATACCATACCCACAGCCATAGCCTTAGTTTAACCCACGCCCTATTAAACTGAGTTGATTAGTAATCTTCGCACATTTATCTTGATTATTTTAACAAGTTTTCATGTATAAAACTATTGAATAAAATATATTTTTTATTTAAATCTTTTCAAAAATGATTTTCTTAAGAAAATAAATGTCAAAAGATATTTTGAGAGAAAAAATCATCGTTAAGGGATTTTAGTTGAACTTTTATTAATTCTTGACCATCGAAGTATTTTCTTGACTCTGCTTAGAAATGTTTTTCATAGATAAGTTAAAATTAATCATCTTAATATATTTCTTCGTTAACTAATACTTGAAATCTGTTTCATCTCGAGAGAAAGATATGAAAACTTGATATCAATTTACTTTTTTTACAGCAGTCGTTGATTAAATATTTCATATGACGAAAAAGATTTAATATCTACAAAGAAATGGTTATGTTAATCTTTTTATATAAATATTTTCTTTTGTTGTGCATGAAGTCACCTTCGTTATTTAATACAAATACGTAGAAAAGAACAACAAAAAACAAAATTATTTTTATAAATGGTGGAGTTCGTAATAGTCATTCAATGGTTTAGGTAGGTTTCCATTAAATAAATCTAAATAGTATTGTTTTTGTTGTCGGTAGTATTTTTTCATGGCCGGGTAATGGGCAGTGACGCCGCAATTATACGATACGGGTATTTTGCGACCAGCATTACAAGGTTTACATTCATGCAAAGATTGTATATTGTCGGGACCAATATGTGTTCGATTTGATGGAATAATATGAGATAGACAATCTCGACATGGTATAAATTCGCCTCCAAAATGTATTGATATGAATTCGACTAAAGTTAACTGTTGACCATTTGCAGTCGTTATATCTTCGTATATATCAAAATTTAATTTTAATGTAACACCACCACTTGATTCATACCCAGCACGATCATTCCGATCATCGGAAACAGCGCCTCAAACGATTATAAAACGATGTATTGTTGCATTAATTCTCACCGTATTTTTGTTAGAAAACGGTCACCGTTTTCTGGGATGCCGGATCACGGGGGCGAGAAAACACCGGGTTTTGTTGTTTTATACTGTTTTTACATCGTTTACGTTGCCCTTCCTTTTGACTTGGGTAATAAAGATTTTAATTACTTAGAATACATTGATAGTTTGAAAAACTGGTGCTCGATTTGACTAATGTTATGTTTATTAGTGCAAATTAAATTTTTACCCATATAAAAACCAGAACATGAGTCTAATAGTAAATAAAATCTAACAACACCCTTTGCAATACGCTGTAATTTATTACGACTATTATCGAAATAAAGACGAGTTTCGTCGGAGATGTTTTATTTTTTATAATTAATGCATTGGTTTTTTGATCGAGCAATGCTAAATATAAATGGGTGTAATATGCATATTTGTAAAGATGCCGACGCAACATTAGTCCTATCATGGTAGTAGATAACATCCAAAATAGCACGTATATAAAGCATTAATTTTTCTTTAATCTGAAATAAAATAAACAAAGATAGGAATAAATGGTTTTATTATAAATATGAACAAAAATAGAAGTGCACAAATATCGATAATTTCTTTCTTAACTTTGTAATAGATAATAAAATATAAAGTGAAATCAAGTTGCGTAAAATTCTTCTGGAAAACAAGACATCATGTATCTACATCGAACGGAATAAATAAATCATTTTAAGAAAAAGTATTCAATGGAACAGAAAAAAGGATCATTATTAGAAATTTCCTGTCAAAAATGACAACTCAGAATAATTATTACTGTTTTTATTCTCATCGTTTGTTCTCATTCTCGTAGATTAGAGGGTGAGTGGTGAAAGAAGAAGAGTCCTTGACAATCACACCTACATCCATACATACTTTATTTCAAATAAATTTATTCGATAGTATCTAAAGGAAATATTTTTCGGGAAAGTTTAATATGAAAATTGCTAATGGCAAAAGAAAATAGGGCAAATTTTTTATATTTCAGATGTTTATCGTACTGCAAATTCCTGATCTTTTTATTTCTGTAAATACGGATTTTTTTCTGAGATACGTATGATATTTTTAAGTCTTCACTGTATCATTAAGATCCGATAGTATCTGTTTTATTTTTATTTTTGTCAAATGTCTATTTTAATTCATATCCTTAATTAAGTATTAAACAAATAATTCAACAATTCTTCTCTGATCATTGAAAGAACAATGTCGAATGAAATTGATATTTCTATGTCTTTTAGCTATTCATATTTGTTTGATCAACTGAATATATATTAATATAAAAACCAATTTCTGACGGAATACTTTCATTCGAGTTTGACTAGATGTTTAGCATTTAACTTAAAGCAGTAATTTATTTTATTGATATATAAACACTCGTCTTTGGATAAGTTTGAAAGGAGAAATCTTTATTTGAATTTACTTGAAGTGTTATTGATTATATTATTCGAAAGTAACAAACAATAATAATATATATTAGCGAAATTGCAAGTGAATTCTAATCTATATAAAACTAATGGAAGCTATCGAAGTGTACTCATATATAGGGAAGTCATTCATATCTTCTATTGCATTCTTATTGAATTAGTATTGATAGAAAGCACATTGAATACAAAAGAAAAATAATCGACAATATTAAAGTTCGTCGTCTCAATTTGATAATGTGCAAGACAATCATGAAATACTTTAGAGATTGATATTTTCGAGTAGTATCACTTTGTCATCATTTTAAATGATTTTAGAGATCTAAGAAAAGGTAATTCCTTTAATCTATTATAAAGTTATTTGTCGAAAAGAATCAGTTTTACTCCAATTATATCGTAGGACAAGTTGAAAAAAATCGTCATCATTAATTGTACATATTTATAGAAAACTTGTTGAATTTAGTTATATTTCATAGCATCTGTGGTGTTTTGTAATTCGATATGCAATAATTAACTTATACATTAAAATATTCAAAATACTTTCTATATACAAAATAATTAAGTTCGTAAATGGGTAATAAACTTAACATTGATATATATTCGATAATATTACTTGCATGTCATATACACTAGAATATCATCGTCATACCCTATTAATTGAAAATCAATGACTTTACTCTTCGTATATCTCAACTATCTTATTATTAAGTAAAACAGTTTCGTTAATTAAGACGAATGAAATAGTATTTGTATAGATGTGTAAAAGATTCATAGCTGTGATAATTTGTCTTTTTCCTATCGTCAAGCGATCATTTTTATATATTAAGAATAATTCGTTTCTCCCCCATTCATATCACAATTGTCGGTATTGAGCAGAAATAATTAAAAGAACAAATTTAGAAGATTCGATAGAAATGTTTTATCTATAATAACATCTTTAATTAGAAGATATTTCTTTTAGGTGAATCCAACAAAATATACACATTTAATAAGTGGACTTCGAAGAATAACTGCTGAAGAAAGTTTCCGAGCAATATGGAAAGGATGGGCGCCAACACTTTTAGGTTATATACCGCAAGGTGCTCTTAAATATGGTCTCTATGAAGTATTTAAAGATTTATATTCAAATTTGGCTGGAGAAAAATATACTCAACAATATAAAGGATGGATATGGTGTGCAGGTGCAGCATCAGCT